ATTCCCCAATGACCTATACGAGTAAATGTGACCTTCTACTTAGTGCTCACTTTTCGTACACTAGTCCTTTTAATGGTGTCTTCTTTGGACAAGTTCTTTATTAAATCTCAGACATTAGCTAGCTCTATAAAAGATGGAGGAGTAAAGCAGCAGCAGTCTCTAATCCTTCATGAAGAAAATTCCATCCCTGAAATGCCCTTCTTGTTCTTCAATAGATGCTTCCATTCAATACATGCACCTCAGTCAGCAAGATACAGGTTGGGTGGGAATACTGCTTCATCCCTAGCTTTTCCATGATCATAGCAGCCAAATGGCAGTCAGAGTCAAATTTCTCTATCTGTCCTGTTTTGAGAGCCTGGAATTAGAAAGTCTCTAAGCAAGTTCAGTGGCATCCCATGCCTCAGCCTCTGAGATAACATAGAAGGAAAGATAATTTCATGTATCAGTTTGCTAGGGCTGCAATAATAAAATACCAGTCTGGGTGGATTAAACAAAATAAATTTATTTTTTCACAGTTCTGGGGGCTGGAAGTTCAAAATCAAGGGACCAGGATATTTGATTTCTTCTGAGGTGTCTCTATTGGGCTTGTAGCTGGCTGCCTTCTCACTGTGCCCTCACATGGTCTTTCCTTTGTATGTGGGCATCCTTGGTGTCTGTCTGTGTGTCACAATTTCCTTTTTTTATAAGGACACCAGTCCGACTGGATTAGAGCCCACCTTAACAGTCTTATTTTAACTTAACCACCTCTTTAAAGGCCCCCAACTTCAAATACAGTCACTTTTGAGACACTGGCAATTAGAACTTCAACATATGAGTTGGGGAGAGGGGCATAATTCAGCCTATAATATCTCTGAAGAACCAATGAAAGGGCTCTTCTCCAAACTACCACATTAACAATTCTGTTTTATTTTTTAGTGATAATTTAAAGATTATTAAATCAGTTATTGAAAATATAAAGTATTCAAGTAGAAAGTGCACACATTTCATGTGTGAAAGTGGTTGATGAAAAGTCACATTCTTGATGACTTGATGTTTTAAAAATAAAAGCTTGCTTTCTTATTTAAAATAAACCACTATAGCAGCAACATGGATGGACCTAAAGATTCTCGTACTAAGTGAAGTAAGTCAGACAGAGAAGGACAAATATTATATGATATCACTTATATGTGGAATCTAAAAAAATAGTACAAATGAACTTATTTACAAAACAGAAAGACACTCACAGACATAGAAAACAAACTTATGGTTACCAAGGGGAAGATAGGGGAGGGATAAATTGGGAGTAGGGGATTAACAGATGCACACTACCATATATTAAACAGATAAACAACAAGGTCCTACTGTATAGCACAGGGAACTATAATCAATATGTTGTAATAAACTAATGGGATAGAATCAAAGAAAAGAATATAGATATATACACATATATACGTATAACTGAATCACTTTGGTATACACCTGAAACACAATATTGTAAATCAACTGTACTTCATTTAAAACAAACAAATAGACATTTGACAAAAGTATAAATAAATTAATTAATTAAAGAAACCACTATAACAAAAATAATAGCATCACTTAGGGAGCTAGAATGTTTAAGTATCTCTTTGATTTCCTGACATGGGCTATTTCTAATTCCATGCTAAATATTAGAAGTTATGCTGTGGGGAGCAGTAGTGTAATACCACTAAAGTGATTAAAAATTAATCTCTCCAAATGAAATATTTTCATTACTAAAATGAGTATTATGCTCACTTTATGCTCTTGAGAAGATTTTCTTCTAAGAAGGCAAGTAACCTCATACCATTAAAGTATTGTACAATTTCTATATTTCAAATTGGAGATCAGTGCATAAATATTTCTATTACGTTTGATCAAAAGAGCAGTCAAAATAGCAGTATTAGAATACACTGAATAAAATTTGAATATTAAGTGCAGCTAGGCCATAGCAGATTTCAAAAGCAAAATAACAATAATAATAATACATTGAATGCCACTCTTTTTAATATTTCTCAGATGCTAAACATGACGTATTATCAGGGTCTCAAAATTATATAAATAATGTATACTTCTCTCATAAAATATATAAGTACCTAAAATCAATTATGTAAAATAAAATGTGCATATTTCCCCCAGATGCTTATTAGCATTTTGAATCCCCGAATGGTAACTGTAATAGAAAAAAGTAAATACATCTGTAGTTACTTTGTGTAGTTACTATATGGAAATGGAGTAAAACAGAAAAGGATAAGCTTAGAAAATGTTTTGAGTTTAGAATATGTTTTACTAGATTGTTTAACCGAATAGATGTAGTAATCATCACACTAGCTACATTTCCCAGTCAGAAGATAGAAACAACTGATGTGGTTTCTCCCAGCTTCCTGCTAAACACATATGAAGATGCTGAAATGAGCCTCCAGCAACACTGAACACTAACACTGGCTGAAAACCTATTCCAAGAACCTAGAAGCGCCTAATATAATGCTCAAGTGAGAAAAATAAAGGCCATATCCTTGCTCTTGAATAGATCGTGAATGGACAAAAATGTCAGTGATCCCTAAAGCGTAAATGTGGGGCAATCCCATTAAAAGAACTGTTTGCCAGGCCATCCCCTTCTTGGAGCTAACTGTTCATTCCAAATTTAGAAAAATTCTTTTTAAAAAATGAGCTGGGGGAGGAGACAGTTCTAGTAGAAAATAAAGCATCTATAATTAAAACAGTGTGGTACTTACACATGAAGAGAAATCTAGGGACTCCAGAAAAAGACCAAAATATATAAGGAAATGCCATGTAGGTGGCATTTCAAATCATTGAACTTTTAAATAAGTGGTTTTTGGATAATTAGTCTCATATAGAAAATCAACAACGTTGGATACGTTCTTCATTCCTTACATATGGATAAATTACAAGTGGATTGAGTATTTAACTATAAGGATGAAAATATATAGATATTAGAAGAAAACATAGGTTAGATTCTTTATAAGATAGAAGTGTGGACGGCTTTTCTGTCTCTACTCAAAGTGTTGCAAAGGACAATGGGAAAACCACAGAAAATATAAATTATTTGTGAGACACGAAATGAATTTGATAAATTCTCAAAGTTCTTTTCATTGCTAAGTTTCAGTGATTTCTTGGAAGTTTATTAACATTGCAGTGACTTACTATTTAAGCATGTAATAATAGTTAAAGAAATGTATGGTGAATTCAATAGGGAACTATAGTTCTATTTGTAGACTGGTAAAAAGTTACAGCCACAAATAGCCTACTAGATTTTTAATTAAATGGGCTTATTGGTTATAGCATTATCTTTCATTTCAAATATTATAAGAAAGCATGATGTTAGCAATGAAGTACCCTTTTGTATCTTTGTCTTGACTCCTTACACCATCTAAATGTCTGGGTTTATTTTTAGTTATTATATAATCTATTTTTAGTGGTAATATACTTTTGTAAGGGTAAATGATCATTTCTAAACTTTTCCTTGGAGATGCAATGTATGGTTTATTTGACTCAGCTCTGCGTTTTTTTTTTATCATATTCCAGCTCTTTATCCTATTTTATTCTGGCTCTTGCTGTTTTTACTTATTTGAATGCAGCGATTCGTTGAAAATACAGAACTCATAAAGGCAAAATTGAAGATAGAAATTTTTCAGATATCTTAGTAAACAACATGATCTTTCATTGGGACTTTGGGGAAGTTGTTTAACCAAATTGTCTCAATATCTCCATCTCTAAAATGAGAAACATAATAACACTTGTTTATGGTGATTTTCTGCGAATGAAATAATTGTGTGGAAAATACTTAGCACAGAGCCTGGCATAGAGTCAGTAGTGAATAAATATTAACTCGTAATCATATTAATTACTAGTTATTGTTAAGTATGACAGTACACCTTAGAAAATTTTCATTTCCTGAAGGAATAAACTTTAAAATTTGAAAATTTATAAGAATTTTGAGTTGGGATATTTTGCAGAGGGGCCATTTTCTATTTTCTTTCTTGATGTTCTTAATAGTTTAGTACAGTATTCTCATCTGAGACAAAATGACTTTGAATATCATCAATCTTATAACAAAGAATTTAAAAAAAACAATATAGGCAATAATCCCATTTTCTTGTAAAGAGTGTTACTCTTCAAAATAAAGGAAGACACCGATCACTTGGAAATCTTCACTGTTACAAATGGCTAGAAGCTCACTACTCGTCCAGTAGATAGAGGGTTTTTTCTAAGTATGGTCTCATGATCACCTGCTTCTGGATCTCATGAGCTGCTGCTTAAATACGCAGCTTTGAGGTCCCAGCCCAGACTGAACAAGTCAGAATCTCTGTAGTTGGGCCTTAGCAAGCTCCATGTCTAACAAGTTTTTCGCAGGTGGTACTTATTCAAAGCAAAGGTTGAAAAATTCTAATCCACTAGAACACAAGAAATTGCTGTCTGTTTTTCTGTCTTCTGATTTTTACAACCTGAAGTGGATGCCCCTTTCTTTCACAAATAAGCTTTGGCTTCCTTCGTGAATCAGTTAAAGAAATGAACAGTTTACTGGTAGCAATTCTGGGGCTCCAAGCAGAAACATGGAGCTGTTATGGTCTAGAACAAAAATATGCAAAGAAATGAAGGGTCAGAAATTGCTGTACTTTGCCTTATGCAAAATGTGGTAAGACTTGAAAAGATCCATGGGTTTTATGGGGGTTTTTTATCACTCTGGGAAACTCAAGCCATCACTATCAACATTTCTTCAATTCTTCCAGCCTCTTCAGGAGAACCTCCTTGGCTCAGGATAAAATGTGTTTTTTAAAGAATTTTGGTGACATTTGAGGAAAATTAGTGAAGCCAGTGAAGTGCACTTATAATTTAGCATAATGTATTTTTTTGTTCAGGAGTGATTTTGAAAAATTTAGGTCATCAGTAAGGAGAGGTTACTTTCTGTGGTTAAAATTATATTCTAAAAACGTTTACCACATTAAAACTTATTTTTGTGTGTGTGTTTTTCTTTTTTACAGGAATTGCATTGCCTCCTAAAGGGACTGTAGATATCCAGGTGTTATTTATGCCCCAGGTTATGAAATTACAAAAAACAATGGTCATTGTTCAAATGAAGAAGGCAAGTGGAGAAAGGTGGCCTGTTGACAATTTTAAAGAATTGCACACAGAGGTGAAAAGGTAACATGTACATAGCACATTGAAGGAACATGATTTCATTTTGACTGGCATTGATATGATCGGTTTCTTTTATATGTTATGCAATGTGAAGTTCATGAAGTGTTCAAATTTACATGGTCAGAGGGGGAAAATATATTTGATATATGGGGATTGTATATATCGTTGCTGATTTGAAGTTCAGAGTGAGGAACAAGTCAATCTAAGTATCGTATCAGTGAATCATAGTCAGATACATGCAAAGGGACTCCTTTTTGAGTCTGTATCTAGAGAACAACCTGGAACAGCTTGTCTGGGCAAAGCATAGGACTTCTGATGCCCGCGTTCACTAAGTGATGGCACTGTGCCAGGTATATGACGTCCTGATGAGATACTGCCATGACTAGGGTGTGCTGTCGTTGCCAGAATGCAGGTTACTTGTCCCCTCTTTGCTTTGCTGAAATTTAAGCAGATTCCAGTGATGATGCAAAATTTAAATGTTTTCTCTGCTTTTATAATTTTAATTAAATACTTGTCTAGAAACCTTATTAATTAAGAAGAAATTCTTACTTTGTCCTGTATGTGCATATTTCTTCTTCACGTTCAAATAATTCTTTCCTGTGGGCTCAGAGTCCATTCTCCCATGCTTTTTACCACTCCTGCAATCAAGACTGCCGACGTGATCTGGGTAAAATGAAAATGAGGAGGCCCTTGTTCAAAAAGTATTAAGAATTTCAAGACATTAAACAAACATGGGCAATTCCAAGTGTGGAGTTCTTGCATATGTCACATGCCCATGAAGCTGGTCCTGCCTGTCGTGTCTTATGTTCCATTTTTCATAAGAAAAGCCTGTTTTCAACAATGAGCAGAATCATTTTCTAGTATTGCTTTTCTCCTGATGGTGTATGATGGACGTAGAATAATTTTACAAATGCCCTTTTTCTTTTAACTGATAGCCTCCAAAAGTAAATTACTGATAACTTTCTGAAGTCCTGTACTTAATGGTATTTTTTGTGTTTTGTGCTTTGCCCATCCTGTTTAGAACATAACCTATGGAAACTGTATTACTTCTGATTAATCAGTTTAGTCACATCATTAAATACCAATACAGTCATCCCTCAGAATCCATGGGGTATCGATTCCAGGACCCCTGCAGATACCAATATCCATGGTTGCTCAAGTCCATTATATAAAATGGTATAGTATTTGCATATAACCTATGCACATCGTCCCATATACTTTAAATCACCTCTACATTACTTATAATTCCTAATATAATGTAAATGCTATGTAAATACAGGTTTTGCTTTTTGGAACTTTCTGGAATTTCTTTTTTTTTTTTTTTTAATATTTTCAGTTCACAGTTGGTTGAATCTGTGGATTCGGAACCCACAGATATGGAGGGCCAACTGCTGTACTAACCTTTGAATGTAGAGAAAAAAGTTCTTCAGTTTTAACTTGCATCTTACAATGGTTGTGTTACATTTTTCTTTGTGACAGTTTACCAGGGTTTGGTTTGAAATGGTTATAAAATCGACATTTGCAGAAAATGTTTTGTATTTCATACTTAGTTTTTCTCTGCCAAAGTTTAAATTCACAAGCTTTGCTAAAACACCATTAGGTTACTAAAAAATATGTCATTTCATGCTAATATTGAAAGTGTTTATGCTTTTGTTCACTCTTAATAATTTAATTTCTAATTAGAGCTTTGGGGATAGACAGTGAAGAAATCCCAGGAATATGCTGGATATACCCTATTCTTGGATTCCCACAGGCACCACATCCTAAATGCCCCCAGGGTAGGTATATCTTAGAGTCAGAGAGCACCAGGATTTTAGGTATCTTAGAGGCCTTCTAATCCCATCTCTTCTTTGTACAAGTAAGAAAATCCAGGTCCAGAGAAAGTAGGTTGTAAAGTGACCTAGCCCTATTGGTGGAAATGCTAGGACTGAATCTTGTCTCTTAACAATAAGTCCAATGATCTTTCCACAAAACCATACCGTTTCCTGTTGTCTTCCTTGTTGGTAAAACCTACAAATCAACTAAGATTGAAATAACATTAAATTCAGACCCCTTTATTTCATATTCTTTGATGTGCTCAGAGCCCTGCACTAGATCTGTAAGATTCCTGGGTACTGGGGTTCTTGGATCACATTTAATCACCATATTCCAGCTTCTGTGTAACTCATGGGGGCAATGATTCCTCTATTAGTTGTCCCAGATACAAAACTTTTATGGTGTTCTCCAAAAACCAGTCAGAATGTACTACAGATTTTAGGGAGGTGGGCTTGGCCACCACACATGCAACGTAAAATCCCTACTCTTAAAATGCCTTTTTTTCCTCTCAATGACCCCTTTTTTTCTCCACATACTCCAGGCTTCTCTCAAGTTTCTGTATGTTCTCTTTCCTCAACACTCTTCTCACTTCTTCTGCATACTTTTATTTTCCCGTTTTGTTCCCAGGGTCAGCGTAAGAATCACAACTCCTCTTAGATAACCCTAAGGTGAAATTTAGTATCCCAGCCTCTTACCAGGCTCTAGGCATAGTTTTTCATAACTAAGAATCACTGAATTGCACAGCAAAGGGATATCTATTTTTGATCTCCACCTTGAGCAACACAGATAAGCTAAAAGAAGTCTTGAAATTTTGAATTTTTCTTCTCCCTCCAATACCAATCTTTGCTAGTGAAAAAGAGCTAGTCTTTACTGATACAAATTATGTCACCACACTTAGAAGAGAAAATAGTCAGTTTTGCTTGTGAATAACAGCATTTCCCCAGAGACACTGGTTATAAAGGAAGGCCAAGATTATATATTTCCTTGTGTAGTTTAATTTTAACTGGAGTGAAAATCCACATAACTAACAGTACCTTTGACAATAAATGTCATTTGTTTTACTTGAAATATTTTTACTCTTGAGTTAAAAAATTATCAACAACAACAAAAAATTATCAACACATAAATATTTCATATATACTAAATTATCTTCAGAATGCTTCAAAAACATGTCAAAATGCTTTTTTAAAATTTTTTATTTCCTTCAAAACATAGTTGTTTTTATACTTTCCAAAGAGCTGAACAGTTTAAAATTTATAATAGTCTTCTGATCAAAGTGATGTAATACAGCCTAGACATTACTCTGTTGGGATTCTAACAGCAGTGTTGCTCATGTCTACCCCAGACACTGCTTGTTTTTTTCCCAGATTAAAGACTTAAAGCAGATTTTTTAAAGTCTAAAATAAAACCTATGAGAAAATACAAACAAATTTCTTACACAGTTTTCTTCAAAGAAGATTAAATATGCTCCAGAAACATAGAAATTTTCTATCAAGTCACTTTTTTTCATAATTATTAGATTTTTAAAGTAAATGTGAGCTCTGTAAATAGCCTGTGTTACATTAGCACAACCAAGTAGTAACATCTGTGTTCTGAACAGACTGTGTACTAGTTATTAAATCATTTTACCAAAAGTCTAAAACCTATTCTAGTAATTCTTTTTCTCTACAAATGCCCTTGAGAAACAGATGGGTATGATTTTATAAGTAAATATTATTTACTTTCGGTACAGTCCATTCTTCATTCTTAAGAACACATCAGAAATAACCCATTGCTTTCCCTGCTCAACTGTGTCACCATCAATGTTTGTTGTTTCTTTTTTTTCTATGTATCTATAACCCAGGTTATTCTCAAGCCCAGGGTACTTTTGTTGCTCTGTGAACCACTTTTTCTCCTGTCCTTTGGGGGTAGATAATTAGAAAAGGACTGTACTCCCTATCACAGTGTAAAGACAATGGAATGTGAATCCATTGTGGTTTAGTAATCCTGGCATTGCTAGGGCAGTAATTTCCTAAGGACTTACAGGACAAGACCAATGACATGATACTAATTGTAACTTTGATCACACTAATTTCCAATTTAATGCTTTAGGACTGAAGCTAATTATAACCAGAAAAGCTTGTACATTTTCCTCAGCCATTTCAACCCACTTAATTTACATCTAACTTTGTACCCTTGTTGTACATTTCACATATTCTAAGTCCAAAATGTTCAGTATTAACCTGTAAATTTAAGAATTAAAAATAAATTTATTTTAAACATTTCTTTACTATAAATGTGGTCTATACTGTGAAAACACATAAATCTGAGGACATTATCCAATCTTGCTGTTCAGATGAACATATTATCAATATTATTGATGCCACGAAAGCATAGTGTAATCCATTTCAAAGCTTTTTTAGTATTATGACTCCCTTTTTAATCTCATATTCAATTTATGTCCTGTATGCATCTGAACTGATACAAATATAACAGTTAATATATTTTGGAGAAATAATATTCTTAAATATGGACTCTAGCATACATGGCCCCATAATATTATACAGCTAATGCCAATATATTAATATTCCTTTATATAATTAGTAGTTGATATAGACATAATATTTTGGTTGCTCACAAGATCATTAACAACTTCTGCACTTTATATAAGAAAATGTTGGAATTATATATAGAGAGAAATATGTAAAGTTATATATTTAATGTTTTAGTGCTGTATGCTAAATTAATATGTAATAACATTTTAATATTAACTTTAAATAATTCATTACAATTTTTAATTACTACATAGTGTATTTTGTAAATTTAAAAGCAATTCACAAATGGAAATCAAAATATTTTACTTAATTTAAGTGAATTTTAAGGTGCATGTAAATAAACTAATATTTTTGGTTTAGGAGATATTTTAATAAAATATATTTTAAAAGTGTTATTACAAAATAAATATTACAGAACTTATTTTTTTAATTATTTGAAGGTATTTGCTGTAGTATTTTTATATAAGTAAAGTTTGGTATTTACCACAATGAGTATACAGCTAGCTGAAAAATCCAGTCCCTGAATCACATTTCTACATCCTAATGTAATCTTCTATACTTTGGTGTGTATCTTCTAGATTTATCTCTTGTCATGCTATTTTTACATATTATTTAATATTCATGTTGCTTCCAAAGTGTCAATGTATGTTGATACTGAATGAGTGTATGTGTGTTAATACCAGATGCAATGACATGTCAAAGTATGCCAAAGGAACTTTTATTTTTCATAACATAATTCATTTTTTCTATCTCAAGAACAATCATATAACCCAATAGTCAAATTAACTGAAAGTATTTCTCTCCTGTAGTTGTCATAAAATGTCAGTCAAGGAAGTGGGTAGAAGAGGAGGTGGAAGTCACATTGGATGGAGATTTTTGGGGACAAAATCCTATCTTAGATCTGACAGACTTTGTAGTGATTCCAAAAAGAAAATCATATGATTCTTATGAAGATATCAAAGGTAAGAGAACCACAGTCATGGGTATAAAAAATTATAATAAATAAAAACTCAATTTTCCTTAAATTTCAGGTTGCTGATTACTCAGTTGCATGAAAATCCATTCCCATTTATTTTTCACATACAATATCATTAAAATAGTGCCCAACGAGCGTTCGCTTATGTTTGTTCTCTTCACATAGCAGTTTTCTCCAAAGCGACAATAATTATGGTTATCAGTGGATTTATAAAAATAGGTTGTGATTTTGTCATCAGTGAGGAAAGAAAAAGTTACAGTAACTGTAATTTTCATTTTCCTTCAACTTTAATTTCTTCCTTTACTCTCTTTTTCTGATTTAAGGAATAAGATTGAAGCCATGGCTTCAGCTTTAAACTTGGAAGCAGAACCTTGAATAAAATATTTCTTATTTAAAGAAATAGAAAAATTGACATAAATTAGATGTAATACCCACATATACTTTGTACAACTACCCCTCTGACATTTAGAGTCTTAAATAAGACTTTTCAAAAAGTTAATATTATGGTCTGGCAAAATCAAATCTCAATGATGCAAACTTTATTTTTCAGCTATTTCCCAGATGAGCTAAAGTAGAATGCTCCTATTCACACTGAAAGGGAAATTTCCATAGCAGTGTTTTATTAGAATCAAGGGGAGAAATCTATGTTTATGTATTATTTAAAAAGCAAATTAACCACAAAATTAAGTATGAAATTCCTTGCAGAAACAAAATATCTTCTCTAGTTTTCTCATTTATATGTATAGTTTTTTACTTTAATCTCACTACTATCATCTGTGTCTAATCTAATTATTTCAGTGATAAGAGAATGTAAATGAGGTATAACTGAAGAGAGAGAGAGTATACAAGAGTATAGAGAGGATATACAAGAGATAGTAAAATAGTTTTTAATATTTTATAATAGCAGCTATTTCTACTAAGTTATAGATGCTCATTTTAAATGGTTCAAGAAATTCCTGAAGTAATATGGATAGCAGCCCCTCAACTCAATTCAGCCCCACTCAGATGGTGTTAGACTATAATAAACTTGATATATACCCTCTCATACTTCCGGCCATACTTGAGTGATGGAAACATGTTAGGAATTTAACCAGTTATTTTAACTAAGACCAAGTAACAGTGACAAACAAGACAGGCACATTTCTCTTTCACATGTAAGCCTGGACTTGTGCATGGTTTAGGCAGTATAGTGCCTCTGCCCCTCAAGATTATCAGGGATTCAGGTTCCTTTTCTCTTGTTGCTCCACCATCCACTAAGTTGTCCTCATCTGCATGATCAGTTCTACAGTCATGTCCACAGTGAAGAGCAAGCTGGTTCCCTTTAAAGCCATGACCTGAAGATGCATATGTGATTTCTACTTCTATCCCACTGGTGAGACCTCAGTCATATGGGCACACCTAGCTGCACTTGAGGCCGGGAAATGCCTCTTGACAGACCCAGATAAAACTGGGGGACATTCTATTATGAAAAAAGAGGAAAAGAGAGAAAGTAAATATTGGGGAGACAATTAGCAGTCTCTGCCATATTTTATTTGCTGTGAACTGTTAAAATCTATCATCAGTCCATCCGAAAGTACTTAATGAGGACCTATTATACATCAAGTGTTTTCCTGGGCATGGAAATTCACACATACCCCTATCCCTCTCCTACCATCAGACTGGTATCCCCACTCTGTAGGATAGAGTTCCAGTCAGTTTCTGGTCAACATCTCAAATCGCCTACTGAGATGAGGATCCAGGTTTAACTGGCTGGCTCTGCACAGCCGCTGTTGCCGTGAACCGAGCACCACCCTCCATTCTCTAGTTCTCTCAGCCACCTATCTGATATAAAGTATTGTCACTCTGTCTGTGCCTTCTACCATACCCCAAACCCAGATTAGAACCTTTCTGATATCCATGCCAGTTTATTTATTAAGCACTTAGTCTTCCAAGAACAGTGCTAAGTGTTTTATGTTTTGTATTTATTGTATTATTATAGAACTTATCATCAAAGAAACCCTATGAAGCACATAGTATCCCTGTATTTTTATTTTACAAGTGAGGAAATCTAAGTAAAAGAAGTTTAGTGACTTGTCCAGGGTCCTACAATGCAGCAGTGGAAGGGATAATGCATGAATCCAGGCCTGACTATTTTTTAAAACCGTTTTAAAAAATACTTTAGATTTAAAACCTAAAGATGAAATAGTAGGTTCTGAGCTATTCATATTGGCATCAGGCCTAACCTAATTGCTTTTTCTTCTAAAGCCCTGTAGAAATCAAAAACTTTTACAAGGGAAAAGCTTTCTAAGAGGTTCCCTAGCATAAGGTATAATGCCCGGTACAAAGTGGCCAATCAATAAACAAAGAGTTGTTTCAGCTTTCCCTTTATTATCACACTCTCTTCTATTTTACTTTGTACCCTGTTTTATCCTGTTGCTCTTTTTTTCAGTAGTAGTGTTTACACATTGCTTGCTGAATAAAAAATGACTTTGCAACATATAAAAGTACCAATACCCATCAATTTTTCACCTATAAAAATATCTATTCTGTATGAAATGATATTTGATCACTTTTACCTACTAAAATGTTTTTGTTTTGTTTTGTTTTTTTGTGGTAAGTGGGCCTCTCACTGCTGCGGCCTCTCCTGTTGCGGAGCACAGGCTCCGGACGCGCAGGCTCAGCGGCCATGGCTCACGAGCCTAGCCGCTCCGCGGCATGTGGGATCTTCCCGGACCGGGGCACGAACCCGTGTCCCCTGCAACGGCAGGCGGACTCTCAACCACTGCGCCACCAGGGAAGCCCTACTAAAATGTTTTTGACGTGATTCAATCTATATAAAATAATCTTGAATTACATTCACCATTTGTTCCCTACTGTCATTCTAGCCTGTTTATCTTTATTTGCTGAAACTGTAATATGTAGAGCTAGGGAATATTTATTTCTCTGCTTTTCTATGCAGGCCTGCTTTCTCCTCTCTTTGCAGGTCTCCTTTCTCTGCCTGCTCATTGACTTATACACATGGCTCCATCACGCTTAATCAACACTTCCATTTGCTTCATGAAACCCTTGGTGTCTTCCAAAAAAGATTATCCAAACTGGGGTTCTATTATTTGCAAATAAACATTCTGAGAGTAAATGTAGAAGAGGAACTAGAAATAATAAATATTTCTTAAATGAATTACAAAAATGTCAGAATAATCTCCCCTACACACTTTCACTATAAAATTTGCAAGGCAATATTTGAAAAGCTGGAGATGGAATTATGAAATGAGTATCTATGTTATATGTATCCAATGTATTTCAAAAGATCTTTGGAATTCCAAAAATATTAGTTCACCCTAACTGTGTTCTTTTTATTTACTGGCTAGTTATAGAGAGTATGAAGTATGTGAGAGTTGGAGATAGTAATGCAGTTACTAGGTTGCACAATGAGATATTTAATTCTTAATTATATTAACTTATTATTTGTTCCCTTTGGTTGAATTTTAGTTTTGTCATTGCAAAATGCCAGTGTAATCACGAACTGCTTAAATTTATAAAAAGTGAAATAAATTTATATGAGGAGAGGGAAATTTTCCATTTCAGTGCCTGTTCAGTTATTCTCTATTTCAAAGAACTATCCATTAATAATGGAATCAGACTGATATAAAGCATTTCCATTTATCTCAAAAAAGTTATTATAAATTGGATATAGATTTTGCCTTAGTGAATCATGTAGTGACATTAGACAAATGTAGGAAATGTAATCTTTAATTAAATGAAATTCTGTTGGCTTTCTTTTCTTCAACTGATAGACAATACTCAAAGGAAATTCTGATTGTTTATACATACCAGGATTAAGAATATTAGTGTAGATTAACCTCAGAATTCAGATGTGTAATACATCTTCCAATTTCCAGTGATAAATAAATGTAAGTACTTTCTTATTAAAATAGAAAATAATTTTAGTAAGCAGCCAACCTATAATAATTGTACCCCAGTGAATGTCCAGTTTCTTTCTGAAGTGAAACCATTGTTTTGTGTGTCATCCTGCTATGCATCAGTGAATTTTTTTAAGGGGGCTTCTTTATTTAAAATAAATTTATTTATTTATGGCTGCATTGGGTCTTTGTTGCTGTACGCGGGCTTTCTCTAGTTGTGGCGAGCGGAGGCAACTCTTTGTTGTGGTGCACAGGCTTCTCACTGCGGTGGTTTCTCTTGTTGCAGAGCACGAGCTCTAGGTGCGTGGGCTTCAGTAGTTGTGGTTTGCTGGCTCAGTAGTTGTGGCTCACAGGGTCTAGAGCACAGGCTTAGTAGTTGGGACACACAGGCTTAGGTGTTCTGCGGCATGTGGGATCTTCCCGGACCAGGACTCGAACCCATGTCTCCTGCATTGGAAGGTGGATTCTTAACCACTGCACTACCAGGGAAGTCCGCTTCAGTGAATATTAATAGTTTAGTGTTCAAGCCTTGATTTTTATTTGAAATCTATCCTGTTGAAGGCAAAATGTTGATGCTTCTATGACATGAAGTGGAAAGGAAGGTAAAGAAATGCTTGTATCCAGGACTCATCTTACTATGTTCTTGCTACTTTAAATTGCTTAAATTGTACTCTTGTCAGGTTGCAAGCTAAAGAAATTATAATTCTGATAATAGAAATTGATTAAATCTTATTACCTGAAAAAAATCCGCTTCCTCATAGATAAGCAGGGTCTATAAGGAAGCTGCCAACATCATGTTGAGAGCTTTGAAAGGCATGTTAGGAAAACAGTCTCTCTCAAATAGCTCTTGAAAATACACCTTTTGATATGGTTCATATTTTACTGCTTCATTACTTTTCATGATGAAAAGTAATGCTTACTATTGAAAATTACTATTTGGAAGGCTTGCAGGCTTATCTCTTCCCATCATTCTCTCTAAAATAGCTTTTTCTCTGCTCAGTACCACCGAACGCGAGAAGCTATCTATTTTTTGGCAAAAGACACTTTAATTGGTGAACGTTTATTTCTGTTCTGAAGCATGTCTTGC